TCATTTCGTTTCTTTCCTTTTTATAGTTACTGTCTTTGAAAAATGCATCATTACATAAGTCATTTTCACCAGTAGTACCCATATCATCATGTTTAATTATACCATAATTGTTAGATTTTTGTTGTTGTCGATGTTGTTACATCATGAATATGAAATATAAAAAGGACTTATGTTTTTCTCTAGTATAACTGAATGTGCATGAACAATAGAGTGCAAGAGTAAATCTCACTAACTGCAAATGAGTGTTGCTTTCTCATTCCTACTATACATGCGAGGTATCGTGTTATTTTACTTGACAGTTAAAGATTAACAATCAGATTAATCTGATTTTGAAAAATATCATATATACATTGATTAGTAAAATATACATAGTAACTATATTAGTTTGAGTTAGAATGAAACTTGAANATGCATTTGAAGCTAATATTATCTACTGAAGTTAGAATGAAACTTGAAGATAATGAATCTATCTTAAACACTATTAAGTTTTCCTGAAAAATTTTGTTTAAATATTAAACATTAATCAACGTTAGTTGTCTGATTTTTCAAGTGAGCAAAGTGATTGCTGAATTTTTCAATGTTTTTGTCCATAAAAAGTACAAGATCAGAAGAAACTGATATCAGATTAGTAGTGCACTGTTGATGTGTTCCCATTTAATAATGTTTACAGAGCGAGAAAAAATTGATCATTTTTGACTACGTCCTTTCTTATCACTAATTGCAGAAAATTTTTATCATTTTCATATCTCGAGTTTCTTAGTAGTGCTTCATCAAGCGTAACACAATGTTCCGTTCTCAACGTTATTTCTCCGAAAACCAAGAGGTTAGAATGTCAATAGTTAAAATGATAACTGACTGCTATAAGACTCTTATCAAATCTTATTATATTAATGCAAAGAAAAATAAGAGTTTTATTTATACAGATAAATTCAAGTACGAATAAGACTTTATTTTGAAAAGCACTGTTGTTAATTCACTATTCAACATACATCTATAAATATCATCTCATCTTTTTTTACTTCAAGACGTTATCACTACGCGAACGGCGGGCTGCTGTTGATGGCACATCAAGACGTGACAATCTTATGAATGACATCAAACAAGATTACAACCTTCATGGCAAATACAGAGTAACAAAAGCTGAACACAAGAATATAATGCTTATCGGACGAACACGAACAGGCAAATCGACTATCAAAGCATTACTAGTCGATCCAACGAAAATACCCGATGAAATGATGCTTAAATCGGGTACAAGAGAGCCTCTGTTCGAATCGTTTCATTCATTGCAAAACAACATTGTATTTAACATTATCGATACACCAGGTTTATTCGAACGTGGTCCGAAAGACGAAATGACTATTCGAGACAATGAAACAATCTTGAAAACAATTAGCATGTGTGTCAATATGGAAATTACAAAATTTCATGTAATTTGTTTTTGTATGTCTCTTACAAGCGGTATCAATCAAGAAGATATTAAGTCACTTGAATTGTTGGTAGATTTTCTTGGTAAAGAATTATCAGACAATTCGTGTTTAATCATAACACATTGTGAATCAAAAACTAAAGAACAACTAAATGCTCTTCGAAAGGAATTAGTAGAAGATATGTTCTTTAAAAATATCGCATCATTTTTCAAATTAGGAATTTTTTTTTCTGGTTCACTCAATCGAGACGATTATAATCATGGTAATGAGAATCTCTTAGACCAATTCGTTACGATATCTGAATATCGTGAAGAGTTAATTAAATTATTTACAAGTGAAATTAAAACATATCCAATTTGTAAGATGTTATTCAACAGATCATCACATGTTGCTGACATCCAAAAACAACGAGAGAAGGAAGCTAATGAACGAACTGAAGAGCAGCAACGTCTTATCGATCAGTTAACAACTATACAAGCCAATGATCAAGCACAAGTTAAAGAAATCGTACAACGCTATCGTGAATCAGTTAGGCGCGAGGAAAAGGCACGTGCTGAAAGCAAATATTACTTGGACAGTTATGAAAACTTACTTCGTTATGTAGAGAAAAAGACAAATGACTAAAAAAGAATAAAAAATAATCATGTATAAACTCGTTTTTTTCTGAATATCAGTAGTTTTTTTTTAATTGTAGATGTCTCGAATTGTAAGATCAACCTTTGACACTGAAACTATACGTGAACAGATTATGAACGATATTAATGAAGAATATGATAATTATCTACGACAGGATGTGCACTATCATGCTCAAAATAAGGAACGTATCTATCGAAATATTTTGTTAGTGGGCCTTTCGAAGAGTGGCAAAAGTACGCTAGGACATATACTCGAAGATCCTCGATACATTCCTAAAGAGTTAACATTATCATCAATATCAGACACAGAAATCCAATGTACATGGAATATATTTGCAGAACCAACTCTGATCTCATTAAATATCGTTGAAATACCTGGTTATATGATTGATGAAAATAGCAATTTGTCAGATATTAATAGGACATACATAGAACTAGGAATCACCGAGCTGCATTTAGTTTGTTTTTGTACATCTCTTATTACAGGAATTGACGGATATGCTATCAAATTATTTACACGTTTTATTCAACATTTTGGTGAAGAACAAATCCGTGATAATTTATGTTTTATTATAACCCAATGTGAAATGAAGAATGAGGAACAACGTCAAAGCTTACGTGATGAATTTTTATATGATACTGAGTGTGCAACGTTGACAAAAAATCAAGCGGATAGGATATATTTTTCAGGTGCACTTAATCCTGATGATTATAAAAGTGCAAATGATGTGCTATTTTATCAATTTGAAACTGTTAATAATTACAGAAAGAAATTATTGCAATTAATTCAGAGTGATATCAAACCGATTCACCTATCATCGACACGACCGCCAACGCATCTGACAAAATCACCACTATCATCAATATCCGAGTAATTACGTTGTTTATTCATTTAAAATCCTATAGAAATATTTACTATGAATTTTTATATTCAAGAGTCTTTCAAAGTTAAACTTCTCTTAAATAGAAGTGAATAGATTATGCTTAGTTTTTTTCGATAGAGCATATATTCCGAAAACTGATCATACAGTACAAATTTTCCTTTTTTCTATTATCATTAAATCAACTATGTAAGCTCATTTATACTGAAGAGTTTCAGTGTTATGTGTTATACATATATATACTCGTCGATATCATAGTTTTCAATGTAAAATTTCTCTTTTGGCATCCCGCCTAGATAAAGGTGTATGACATTTTTCGGATACAAAGTTCTCACTGCAACTTTTATGGCATTAAAATATGAAACACGGAGGAACTACTCTAATCATAATGTTGAAGCCCTTCTTATATCCATTATAGCTCGTCGGAGAACCAAAAATCTGTATATCGAAAGTTTCTTTCGTATTACAGACCATGACAGATATTACAACTTATCAAATATAATCTGCAATGGAAAGGAGGGTTCTAATTTTTTGCTATGTATTTTAACATCTCTTATCAATCATCTTTCACAATACTTATGGATAAAAGGAAATCAAGTTGTTACAATAGATCCATATTGAAGGACTGTAAAATTTTTGACGAAACAAAATATATTTTTCAGAGAAGTTTCTATTCTTTACGATCGATCTAAAAAGATATCTCAGACATAATTCATATTCGATTTATTAGTTATCCTAATTTTATCTATTTTGAAATAAATTCAGAGATTTTATGTTCTTAATTCTAGGCCTGATCATCAAACAAATTTTGACGAACATAGTAATGCTTATCAATCGAATTTTATAACTTCATCACAAAGTCAACGTGAAGTTTCGAAATCGCAGGCAAATTATATTGTAAGACGAACTGAACCATCATCAATAGAATATCACTGGCAAGATAATCGCTCTACTCCTTTTTCGTACGACGAACCATCCGAACAATTGAGCTGCTTTTCTTGTCTAAGGACATAATTATATATTTTTCTTTGGAACATTACTGACATTTAGAACTAGACTATTCGTACACAGCTGAAAAGGAAAGAATTTAGGATATGAGTGCAGTTAGCTGGGGAGACTTACAGTCTTTTGTTCGCTTACACTCACTTTTATTCCGCATGGAAAGTTTCAAAAACGATAGGATGTGAACGTTGTTTTCTGTTGCCCTGATACTCACACCTTCAAACAGCGGATGTCACTTGGAATGGTTGCCTCGTCATTAATGTCAAAAATGATAAGTTCTGAATGAGATTTTTATTCAATTTTCTTAAATAGGGTCAAACAATATTCGATCGATTTATTTAAGTTTCTCTTCGCTTCTACACTTTTAATGCAAAATAGTCATAGTTTTGCTGTTCTTCTAGAATGTAGATAAGTCGATTCCAATCAATTTGATTATTATCAATAATGATGCTTTTATTTGTATCATTCCGAATAAAATCTTCACGTTTTTCTTTAAGTCGATCAATATCGTTTTCAACAAGATTTTCTGGTTCTCGATGAAAACGAGTTTCATTTGTAGTTGATTCAAGTTGTTTTGTTGTTGCTGTTTGTTGTTTATCCGAGGATGTGATTGTGTGTGTGAGTGTATGCATCAGCCTAAGACTTGCATTTTGCAGCGGAGATGCCACAGTAGCTTTTGCGTATTTGTAAATATACCACAGATTTAATGGCATTTACAGAAACTGAATGAAATTTTACTTCAATATAGTTTAAAAAATGAAAACAAAATTTTGATCGAGATGGCAATTAGAGACACTCAAAACATGATCATGCAGCATCATTATTTGAGGATGTGTGTATGTAT